TAAAAAATAAAAGATTGCATTCATGAAAAGACCTGTGTGTTTATTTCTATTCTATTATTAACGTTTGGTTGGGGGGAAAAAATGCATGGAGCCTCGCTTTTTAAGGTGCTACATGTTTAGTACAGATTAAAGAGGTGCAATTCTGCTTCAAATGCAGTGCAGCTGAATGGGTTTAGATTTTGAAGCGTGGTGACAGGACACCTCAAATTATGTGGGGGACCCCTAGGCCTGATCATCCCCCATTGGGCTGAGTATGACTTCACCTCCCCTGGTCTCAGCAGTCACAGTCTGGCCTCCTGCAGGAGAGGACATGGGTGAGTCTCCTTCATATTCTTAATCTTTTCTTGTTATTACATAGACTTTTATTCTGTAGAATTTTGCGCGGCTGCTTACTGTGCATGATACAATGTTGCAGTCCAGTAAACATGGGCATCACATCTCCTGTGGTAAGAGCTGATGAAGTGTTTTTAAATCAACAAGTAAGTTGTGCTTCAATTACATCCATTAGCATCCTAATCAAAGCAAGGGATGCAGCATTCAAATCGGGCAATAAATCAGAGCTAAGGGCAGCCAGGATCAATCTAAACAATGGTATTAAACATGCAAAAAACACGCTCAAACAGGAATTAGAGGAACGCTTCACCACTAATGACCCAAGGCGCATGTGGCAAGGTATACAGGCCCTCACAGACTTCAAGAGGAAGAACATCTGTGCACCTGCCCATGATGCCTCCCTACCTAACAAGCTCAACACCTTCTATGTTCGGTTTGAAGCCAGCAACACAGAACCAGCCATCAGAGCTGCACCCTTCGCAGCTGACCAGCTGCTCTCACTGTCTGCAGATGAGGTGAGAAGATCCCTGCAAAAAGTGAACACACGCAAGGCTGCAGGACCCGACGGCATAACCAGTCGTGCCCTCAGAGCCTGCGCCAATCAACTGGCGGGTGTATTCACAGACATTTTCAACATGTCTCTGGCCCAAGCCATAGTCCCCCCCTGCTTCAAGACAACCACCATCATCCCAATACCGAAGAAAACCACAGTGACATGTCTTAATGACTACCAACCGTTGGCACTAACACCTGGCATCATGAAGTGCTTCGAGAGGCTGGTCATGAAGCACATTAAGGACAACATTCCAAACACACTGGACCCGTGCCAATTTGCCTACCAGCCCAACAGATCCACAGATGACACAATCTCCATTGCCATACACACTGCCCTATCTCATCTGGATAAAAAGAATACATATGCAAGACTACTATTCATTGACTTCAGCTCAGCTTTTAACACTATCATTCCAGAGAAACTAGTTAAGAAACTCAGTCCACTGGGTCTCAACACCACCCTCTGCAACTGGATTCGGGACTTTCTGACAGGCAGACCTCAGGCTGTCAGGCTTGGAAAACACACCTCCGGCACACTAACTCTGAACACTGGGGTCCCCCAGGGGTGTGTGCTTAGTCCATTACTCTACTCCCACGACTGTAAAGCCAAACACAACACCAACCCCATTGTCAAGTTTGCCGATGACACCACAGTTGTAGGTCTGATCACAGACAATGATGAGAGGGCCTAGAGGGAGGAGGTCAATCTCCTTACAATGTGATGAGAAGACAACAACCTCACCCTCAACGTCAGCAAAACCAAGGAACTGATCGTTGATTTCAGGAAACTGCAAAACGGACATGCCCCTATCCACATCAACGGGATTGAAGTGGAAAGGGTCAGTAACTTCAAATTCCTTGGCGTCCATATCACCGAGGACCTCACATGGTCTCTCAACGCCATCTGTCTGATCAAGAAAGCGCAACAGCACCTGTACTTCCTAAGACGGTTGAAAAAGGCTAAGAGATGTCCCTAGATCCTCACTAATTTTTACATATGCACTGCAGAAAGCACACTGACAGGTTGCATCACAGTGTGGTATGGCAACTGCAGTATTGCCGAATGCAAAGCCCTACAGCGGGTGGTGAAAACTGCCCAGTCCATCACTGGGGTTGCCCTCCCATCTATACAGGACATTTATGACAGACGGTGCTTGAGGAAAGCTCTAAGCATCATCAAAGACCCCACACACCTCAGCTACAGACTGTATGACTCTCTACCATCTGGAAAACGGTACCGGAGCATTCGGGCCCAGACTACCAGACTCAGAGACAGTTTTTACCCCTGCGCTATCAAACTATTAAACTCCCAGCCTCTCTCACTCTCACCTCTCAATGATGATCTGAACCTCACAGTGCCTTCTTTCTTTCTTACCAAAAACTCACACATTGAAATCTACCTCTACCATACATGTCAAAAAGCTCACTCCCCATAATTTCTATCCTTTATTTCATTCAGTTGATGCATGTTTTTGCACATTACCTGTTACCTTTTAGTTGTTTTGCACACTGCCTGTTGTTGTTTTTTGCACACTGCCTATTGTCTCTGTCTTTCTTTTATTATACAATTGTATTGTTGTTTTTTTTGTACTACGTATTGTCTGAGAGCTAGCGAAATAGCATTTCGTTATACCATATACCTGTATATGTGTATAATGACAATAAACTTGAACTAGGATCTGCCCACTTTCTTACAGCTTCTTCCTATTCAGGGTTGCACGGGAGCCAGAGCCTATCCCAGCAAGCAACAGGTGCAAGGCAGGGTACACTCTGGATGGGATGCCAGTCCTTCACAGGGCACACACACACAGAGACACACACCAGGGGTGAAGTTTCATCAGAATTCACATAACCTATCAGCATATTTTTGTGACTGTGGGAGGAAACTGGAGCACGCAGAAGAACCCTCTCCAAACATACAAACTCCACACAGATAGGAATTGATCCCAGAGTCCCCAGCTTTGCAAGGCGGCAGTGCTATCCACTTCACCAGTGTGCCACCTGCTTCAGCTACAACTACAATAAAGATACCTTCTTCCTCAGACCTAGGGTCCTGCTGGAGGGTGATTAGAGCAGGTCAGGAAGTAGCTTCTCTCTTTTGTAAAACCCTGATCTGTGTATGTAAGAGATTTGCTCCACCTAGTCATACCATTGAAAGATTTATAGTTTCACACCTCCGGTCCCCTGCTTTTTTGTATGGATTTGAGGGGGGTAGTTTCAGATAACCAGATAACCACAGGAGCCATTTTTTTCTTGGTAAACAATAACCAAGGGCCCTGCAGTTCCTGGTGTTCTGTTTTGTAACCTAGCAACATCATCAGCCTGGTTGCCTGGTGTTTGATGGGACACTGCACCCTGAGGGTTGTGTTTTACTGTAGTGCAGCTTCTTGGCTTTTGTTTTTTTTGGGGGGTTGCTTTTGAAGTGTTAGAGGCGGTATTGGGTTGGCCACACCTAATCATGGAGGGCTGCTATCACATAAGGCAAGTTAAGTCATCCGAGTGTCGATCCATGTGAAGATGAGAAGACCAGCTGTGGTCCTTCAGAGCTATAGGCTGTGGGTGTTCTCATCTGAAATTCACTCTCATCTACCTAAGTGATTAACTCATTTGTTTTAGTAAACATCACAATATGGTGCGGTGGCTCTGTGGCAAAGGATCTGTGCCTGGAAGGTTGCTGGTTTGTATCCCCTGACCGGCAGAGGAATCCTACTCCATTGGGCCCCTGAGCAAGGCCCTTAACCCCAACTGCTCCAGGGGTGCCATATAAATGGCTGACCCTGTGCTCTGACCCCAAGCTTCTCTCCCTGTCTGTGTGTCTCATGGAGAGCAAGCTGGGGTATGTGAAAAGATGAGAAATTGTATATGGCCAATAAAGTGATCTGACCTTATGGTTTAGAAACTAGTCATTTCTGGGTGACCCATGAAATGTGCCAGCATAAAATATTTAAACAGAGTCTGTTTTCTTCATCACGAAGTTAGTTGTGCGTTTGGTGGTCTTCTAGACTGTATTTGCCATTCCCTGATCTTCTCTGGGGTCCCATTAAAACTACCCCCCCCACACACACACACACAAGGTTTTACATTTAAAAAGACGCATGAGCAGGATTTAGCGCTCACGAGGCGGGAAAAAAAAAGAAAACATTTTCTCAGCCTGGCTTATCTGAGAACATGCAACACAGGGGGGACCAAGGGCTGATAAGGGCCTGGGTTGCTGAAAACAGGCCTTGCAGCACTGATAAGGCCACATCACATCACCTCCCAGCCGCAGGCAAAC